TCACGGCGGCTAGGCGTTTGTCCGATAGGAAGAGGGGTTTCCCCGGGGGTTTTGGCACGTCGGTTCCTCTTGAAGCCGCCTTCTTCGCGGTTTTTCGATGTGGGAGGAAACGTGAAGGGGGTTTGGGCCGATTTTCTAGTCTCGCAAACAGTCCCCGAAGAGCGACCCTTTTCCCCGCGCGTTTGCCCATCTACAAGAAAAATTCGGTAGTATTACTGTCTCTGTCTAGTTTCATGTCTCATGTGGGTGTGAGTTCTGAGGTTGTTTAGGAAAAAGGAAATTCGTGAGGAAGGGAAGTCGCACAAAGGCTTCGCGTCCTCCTGCACGATTTAGGGAAAGGAAGAATAGAATCAGGGAAATGGGAATCTGTGAGAGATAGAAATTTGTGGGTCCTCTCAGCGAGTCCTACGCGGACTTATCCTTATTGGTGTGGGAGGAAAAAGAAAAAAGGGGTTTCGTTGACAAGGTTTATTAAATGAAAAAGGAATAGGTTTACAGATGTAAGGTGTGTGTGTGTGCGCGCGCGCGCGCGCGCGTGTGGGCGTGTGCGTGCGTACGTGCGTGTGCGTGTATTTCTAAATACCTTGACTCTGTAACTCAGTAACTCTAAATGAAACAGCAAGTTATAATGGGGAAAACGGGAAAAGACGGGGAAGGGGGTGGAGATGAGAACGCCGAATGAAATGACAGACGGCTTTATTTATTACTAGACCTTAACCTAATCCTTAATCTACCTTAATCCTACCTTACATCAACTTTGGCGAGTGGGCGAGATCGTGTGGCGCACGGGGCCACGGGCAAAAATGGCCAGTTACGGCGATACCGTCGAAGACGGGCCGGGCGGACCATCGGAGCGGAATCCGGTCTCCGTGTGAGACGGGTAGGGGCCGGGGAGATGTCGGCGGGGGGGGGGGCAGTTACTCAGCAAGCGAGGAGGTTTTCCTTCGGCTAAACCATTGAAGTGAGAAACGAAGCGCTGCTGACTTCTTTACAGAAAATGTTGGACCCTACACAACATGGGTTCTATGCATTTTTGCTGTAACTCGCAATTTGCAACGTTTCCGGTAAACGTACCCGCGTCGTGAAAACAATTTTTTTTTTTAGTTTTATTTTTTCTTGTAAAAAAAAGCGGCGCCACTGTTCCAGCAACCAAGACCATTGCTGCATACATCAACCCTAATATTACCCACAATTTTTCATGAATTATAAAATTATTGAAATTTGATATGCTTTTTTAGCTAACCCACGCGTTTTTAAATACCGTCGCATTGATAGAACAAATACACGAGTACCGTCTGTCCGACAACTATATATGTGTTTTGGTCGGGTGCGTAGTACCGTATATGCATTCACGGCGGAGTCACCACTCTCGGAGACACGTGATTACATGTTTTGGCCGGCCTAAACGTGTAAAGTCACGAGACGTCAGTCGCGCGAGTGTCGCTGCGAGGGACGGTAGGACCCGTTCAAGGTTCAGTTGCTTTCCTGTCGCCTTAGAAATAAAGCATACGACCTTAGAAATAACAAGGTCCGTATGAACAGTCGTATAATTTGCATGTTTGTACCAACATTTATATATATATTGTAACGTGGTGGGTTCGATGCCCTCTCACGTTACGGGGAATTAGGTCCATCGGAGGATGGGCCTAGTCCCCCGCACCCTTTATTTAGAATATATTAGACGAAGGAAGTCCTCCGATTACCTCTTGGAGTTCGATGCTATTGGTCACTACTCAGGGAAAAAGTCCCGCATGTCCTTTTAATGCTGCGTATGGCCAGGTGGGCTATGGGAAATAATTAATATCGGGACCTCTCTTTTGCTCTCTCTCTGTTCGACGGACACCTCTCCAATACCAAACCTAAGAGATATTGGGGAGGAAAGGCCAATAGGGCAGGATTAATAATAATTCAAGACCATGAGCGAATTTTAGGAACAAAAGTTACCTGGCGGTACGGTCGAGCCGAGGCGGGCGGCGTCGGGGCCTAACTTAAAAGGGCCTCTGAGGATCGGACTGGCACGCCTTGGGGAAGCCGACGTCGGCTTGAAGATCGGGGGCGAGGAGTCCCAACAGGACACTCACGGTCCCTCAGCCGCAACCGAGGGCCTGTCACCGGCCCAGAAGTTGGGAGCGCCGGTTGACAGGCAAGGTTAGGTCTCCCGGCGCGGACACACGGGTGCCCGGGGATCGGCGAGCGGCCGGTAAGGAGGGATGGGCGCCGCGCGCGCGGGATGCGGCGGCGGCCCGAAGCACGGCGTTACAGGCCGAGAAAGACCCCGCAAGGGGGGTCCGGCCAATCAGGGGCAATTACGCCACATTTGCCATCGATCCTCGGATGACCTAGATCCGGCCCTGATGAGCGATCCGAGGCGCGTGCCCCGGGCCAATGGCCGAAGCTTTAGGATGCGCCGACCAATCGGATCGGTCATCGGGTGGGGGAGGTGGCTGGCGTCGCGTGCCCGGCTCGCACGTGTTGCCGGGTAGTAAAAAACAAAGGAAGCCTGGCTCCTTCTTCGTGTCTGGACTGTTGCTGCTGATATGTTTGTACGACATTGTCCACCTACAAAAATATTGTTATACGTTTTACTTATTTCGTGTCATTTTTGCAGTCTTGATTATACAGAAGCATGCGCCGCTGAATAACGAAACTTTGTTTAAAATCATTTCATACTTCTGCACGAGTGAATACGTAATCGTATAATTTAAAAGTTCATGAAAAGCTGTTTGAAATCCTTCTAATGATTTGACCAGCGCGCACGCGAGCTTAACACGGACTCGAACCATCGACGGTTCTAGAACCTTATGTTCTTGAATGTTCCGGAAATTGTTTGAGTTTCATGAAATTCCAAGAATCGACTTCCGATTCTTGGAATACTTGACGTCACGATTAGTGATATGACCTGTCGAACAATTCACCAACTCAAGTTACTTGAATTAGAAAGCATTGCCAACTCAAGTTTTGACTCGAATCGATAACTCGGTGCTGCATATATTCGATGCGGTGAGTAGAATCTATGGCGAGTTGGCGAGTAAAACAACTTGACTAACGGCGACTGAAGTCAAAGTAATATAACGAGCCGAGTACTTTATCGACTTGAATTATTCGAAAATTGCCAACTCGGGTCAATGGCGTGTTACGTAGGTCCTCTTTACGAAATAGTCATAACCTGGTAACCCGAAGGTAGCCATGGAATTCCATAAATTAGCACGCGATTAAGACATACGCTTGCGAAAGGAAGTCCTGAAGCCGCCTGACGAAGATCGCGCCATTGACCCAAGTAAACCAGATCCCGATCAACTGGCCCGAAGCGCATCCTGATGACTCTATAGTACATCGAACACCCCTGCAAATGCCGCCCTCGTCTAGATCATGGAACCCCCGCCAACCGGAATGTCATCCCAAATTTACCGACAAAAACCAACAACCACTTTTGGAAGCGATTCAGAACTCAGTTTTGCACCTAATTGCAACAAGTCTAATGTTTAATCATCATCATCGACCGCGAGTTTGGAGTCTTTGGTTCTCGGCTCTCAGTTCTTAGCGAGTCTAAGACCAAAACCATTGAACTCGGAGGATCACCCGCACCTCGAGCTACAGTTGTGCTGCTCAATAGTCCGGCGATCCAAGAGCATCAATCCAGGAAGAGACGGCGGCATTACTACATTCGTTGGATGGGAGGCTTTTAGGACCCATACGACCCTAGGACACCTCACGGGCGGAAAGTGTTCACGCACAGTAATCCGGTTGATCGATCTAAGGAGCACGTCACCAAACTTGGTCGCTGATTAAACCAGGTACAGGCCCTTTCGGAAGCTCGGGTCACTTTCATTCTTCATCTTAACATCATCTTTCATCCTAATTAAGATTACGTGAATTCCATGCCTAACTCCGGATAACCGGATAAATGAAGTCCTTTTTACACATTCGATCAGACATTTCAATATTTCGCCTTGCGCTAAAATCACGCGAACCTCATAATTCCAAACGCAAGAAACTCCGTGTTAGCATATTAAGCGTCCAGTGACCTACTGCTACTGACCGCCTTATCGCGTCACCCGAAGCTCCGCAACGCGGAACAAAATCGAAACCGTAAGAATTACACTCGAGGACCCTGACGGATCCCTGCGACTTGTAGAAATCCCACCGGACAAGAGAAAAATACAGTCATCCCTATTGACAACCTCCATTTATTGAGCCCCTCTTCAACTGCTCATTCCTGTAAATCCCACCAGAGGATTTGGTGTAGCCGCTTGGACCATCTTCTGACAACAATATTTAAATCGTTACGTAGACGTACGAGGTAAGACCTCTTTAGGCAAAACCCAAATCTTCTCCCCGGCCTCGCATTCCCTCTGCCGCCACGTAGTAGGCCAGTTTGAGAGTAAGACAATTCAAAAAACGATTACTCGAATGAACAAATAAGGCGCGATTGGTTTCTCCGTAGGAATAACCCACTGTCAGTCTGACACTCGTAACTTGCTCTCGCCCTTACACTCGCAACTCGCATTCGTTTGTACTAATAACTTGAGTTACAATAAAAATGACTCGTATATATGCTTGAAACAAAATTCCAGATATCGGCGGCCGATTCGTGGAATTCATGACGTCACAGATCCCGAACGAGACAAAATTCCACGAACAGGCCTGAGGGCTCGACCGTTCTGACCTAGCGCGAGCACGAACCTTCGAAGGCTCTCGAAGTGTCGGTAACGTGTCGGTAACATGTCGGTGCAGGAATCTATCCAGAAGAGGTCACTTCCTACTACTCGAAATTATTGTAAATTCGTATAACAAAAATGAGTAGAATGTCATTTTACGCAACCCCGGAATATTTTTACTTATGTATTCAAACAAACAAGTGATCTGTTCGTTCAGAATATCTTGCGGATGTTTTCTATACAATATTAACTAACGCTCTCTAAAAGTCTAAATTATACCGATACTCTTGTACGATGGATTCGAGGTTTGTTATTACACAAATAACCTGTCTTTCATTGCAGACGTGCACTTCCGGTGGACCGATGATCAATTTCCATTCACTCACCCATCCTGGGAGTTAGAAGTAGAGCACAAAAATAAATGGATAGAAGTTTTAGGCTGCGGCATAGTCCATCAGGAAATTTTAAACAGAGCTGGAGCTAATGACTCCATTGGTTGGGCATTTGGTCTTGGCCTCGAACGATTAGCTATGTGCTTATATGATATACCTGATATCAGATTATTTTGGAGCACCGATCCAGGATTTTTAAACCAGTTTAACGGAGCTAGTCCTGAAACATTAATAACATATAAGGTAATTATACAGGCATTTATATTTTAAATATTTTTATGTATTTAATGGATCACAGTTGCGATCTTTTCTCTTCATGTTTTTATACATTTTGCACACTTTTTAAAATATTATAATGGATTTAAACTTTATTTTTCTGCTGCTGCTTTTCTGTTGCGATATTCTTACACTCAAATACAAATTTATTGCCGTATATTGTTGAATTTGTTGATTTCAAATTGTTGCATTCCTATGGAAAATGTGATTTATAAAAGAAAACCTTAATTTTCAGCCTGTAAGTATCTATCCGCCGTGTACAAACGATATAAGTTTCTGGTTACCTCAAGATGGAGATTACTCATCAGCTGACTTCTACGACATCGTGAGAGAAATCGCAGGTGATATAGTGGAACAAATCAAGTTAATAGACGAATTCGTTCATCCGAAGACAATGCAGTTATCTCACTGCTACAAGATTGTTTACAGACATATGGAGCGGACACTGTCCCAGAAAGAAGTGAATGATATACATAAAAGTATCCAGAACGCGGTGTCTTCTAAGCTACGTGTTTCGATTCGCTAATTTTGTTTCTATAGTAAATACGAGTATATTTATTATTTTATTCGTTGAGGCGCAGCCAGACAAAATTACACGTGCATCAACACAAGTCATGTAAATGAAATATTCCTGAATTACTAGCAAGTATTGTTATCCCTAGTAGCACAGAATAATTTCTAAATTATTTTTTTGTAATCTTTGCTCATTATCTGAAGTGACAGATTTGTTAAGATATTTTGAAGATTTCATTTGATGATATCTAAAATATTTGTTGACAATCTCAATGATAAATTTAATTTTAATAATTTATAGATATATAATAAAAATACAATTTTTACTTTACCATTGGATCACTTTGGATTATTGGACACTTTTTACTTTACCATTGGAGCAATTTGGATTATTGGACACTTCATTTGGTATCATGAAANACATCCTTCAAATCAGTCGATTCGAATACAACACTTTTTTTTAAGGGTATTAGGCCAAACTGTCCAAAACTTTGACACATCACTCCTGATCAGCTAAGAATTGTCCTGACACATTCAAAATTTGGATCTTTCAAAAAAATTTGTTAACTCATTTTTTATGCTACTAGGGATAGTTGAATAAATCTTTCTTAGATATTTGCTGTAATTTTATTTTTATAGAATTAGGCGTTTGTGGTCATTTCGACCTCTCTCGACTAAGAATAAATGTAAACACTAACTTCAGAAGCAAGAGGTACTGATTTATTATTATTAACTTGTTGCTGTAAGTACAATATCTACAGCGTAGCTTTTTATATTGCCATCTTGTACTATTTCTTTTTTATCACTATTCAGTCATTCAGGAACACTGTTGGTCTTTCTCCGGAAACGTAAAAATTTCTTGCAAAAAGTTTGTTAAAAAAATTTGTTCAGTCTCTACCGCTGATGTTTAATCATGTACGCCGCAGACATTAAGTTTAAAATTGATCGAAAGGAAGACGAAAAGAATAAGTTTATTTAAAAAATACTGATAATCAAATAAAACGCGATTTGAATACAAGACAATATTGGTATATATCCGTTATACAATTTGTAACATAGTAATAAGGAGGTAGAGGTAATTTCTGTAAACATTATTAATTTAACTGTTATAAGACTGTAATCTAATACATGAAATTAACCTGCATAGCATCTGCGTATTTCTCGTTTATTTAAATAAATTTTTCTCGGGCATTAGTCATTTGAACCTGTACCATGTTGCGTTGCGTTCGTGTAATTAGTAAGAATGCATTGTTAAATTAAAACTTTACTAACATTTTTTATTATGCTAAGACTTAATATTTTTTCTTTGTCCTTGCGGAAGCGTTTTACTCACATTCTAAATTTTGGATAGTTTGTGGCAGGAACTTTTTGAAATAGGTGGTCTTCGGACAAGATCATGTAGCATGTTCTAAAATTTCTTTCCCCAGATACTCTGCACCTGAAATATACAGTTATTAAATAAAAGCCGAGAATTTTTGTTTCGAAATATGCATTTTTCAAAGGCTACAAGGGTTTAAAGTTGAAATGCCCGGATGACTGCAACACTCCCACCAACGGCATCTCTCCATAGTACGCGGTCATAGTACTTTTAAAGAATGCACGTTTCGAAACAAATGTTTCGAACAAAATCTTCTTATTTTTATACGTAAAATAGGAATCTACAATAAAAAATGGGGATTGCCATTTAAGAAAGTGAACCTCACTTTCCCCGACAAGAGCGCCATCTACAAACTAATAGCTCCTCTTTGAGTGCCCCTCTGATACGAATAATTTTCGTTGTGAACAATTTTTCGTTCAATACGTATTTCTCGAGATATTTCGGTGTCTCAAGTTAAGTGAATAACCCGGTATATTTTATTTAAACATATTTGTCAATTGACCATATTTGTTTGATGTAATCAAATGATTTGTTTCGCTTGAATTCAATAAATGTTTTACTTAAACGAACATTGTAAGACAAGAAGAGATTTTCCGTTAACGAAGATAAAAAGGGTTGGATATCCGACCAATTTAAAAACGTGCTGTTATTATAACTTTTTCACTTCTTTTTCACATAATGTTACTACCCATATCACTGATTGTAGTTCTCTTAGCCCAATATATTATCCATAAGACTATTTACTCTGAAGTATCTTGTGGAACCTCTGAATGAATTCGATAGAATCGAATAAATCATTTTTTTCAAATTAAATACAAGACACTTACGCAAGTTGATCGATTAATTTAAAGAAATTTTTCATGTAAATTAAGACAGTTACGTTAAACAAATAATGTATTTTACGTAAGAACGTAAAAATTTGTCTTTTACTGAAATCAAATAAACCTTTTGTCGATTCCCACAAGTAATTGTTTTGCTTTAATGAAAGCTATTTGAACAGATTTCTTTCTTTGGATTAAATAAACTGTTTTCCTAGGGTAGTAAGTAATGTTCTTGCTCAGTATGTGGTCCCCCAAACCGCAGTAAAAGTTTCAATCTACCCCTAGTAGCACCAAATATTTGTCTCATATTTTCTATATACTTAAACATTATCGTACATTTTGTATATATTTAGCAGACATTTGAAATATTTGTAAAACGTTTACTTTTGAATATTATTTTTATATTTGTATAATATTAGCTCCACGTGTTTTCGTAATATTTTTCTTCTAAATATACAAAACATTTCGTTTCATTTTAATACAAGTATTTTTTAAATGTTATCTGCCAAATACACTGTGAACGTTTTAAAAATATCTAAAATGCAAATCACATATTTTGCTCCCATAATGAAATAGTGGAACGAAAATTTTGCAAAAATTTCTGGTGTTTTTCCGATACCAAATAAAGGGTCCAATAATAATCGTAAAGTAAAAAATGTATTTTTATCATATGTTTATAAATTAAAGAATATACTTTTAATATGTGTATATAAATTATTAAAATTAAATATGTCATTGAGATTTTCAACAAATATTTTATATATCTGCAAATGAAATGTACGAGGCATCTTAAAAAATCTGTCGCTTGAGATATGTAGCAAAAATTGCAAAAAATATTTAGAAAATATTCTGTGCTACTAGGGACGGTACTGCTAAAATTCAATGTAAATTTTCCTACATTTATTGTTCTTATGTAACTGCTGAGTTTTGCATTGTAATCTTGAGATAATTAACAATAAATTAAGAAAATATATACTACGATACATTTATTTTTCCACAAATTATGGATTGGGGTTTTCCCAAACCCCATTATGGTGAACCCTTAGTTAAAATTTGAAGTGTAGTGTCCGAGTGTTAATTACATATGCACACTGAGAAAAAACTAGCTGGTAAACTGAACAATTTGATCCTGTTTAAGCCATCTTTGTTAAAGGAACGCAATTTATCATTTGATGTACCATCAATTCATAACTGCAATTATTTTTTAATAGTTGAGCATCCTACTGGCTTTTTTTATGAATATTGTAGTAGCGGTAACAATATTTATAGTAAAGATTTTTACCATTTCGGAATAATTCCCACCAAGCACACTATGTTACATAACACTGGAATAACATGATATATAACGAATGTTATTCAAAAGATACATTAATATCCAATAATGTTGAATTATTTCCATTTGGTAACATTGATACAAATTCGTTAGTATTGTAATTATATCATATTAACATATCATATAACACGTTATCGATATGTCATGTATACTTTACATTATTCGTTTTATAACAGTGCTGTATAGCTGCGTAGGAAATAGTGATACAAATCTTACTTATATATTACATGTGTATTACATTACATGTTACAAACTTTATGTAACGGTTATATTATTGTTACGTAACCGTGTTTGGTGGGGTTAGGATACGTTTTCAATATTGTCAAATCTTCTTGCAAGTTGTTGTTATTTATTCTAATTTTAGTAACTGTAACAATATTACTAGTATAACCATTTAATATTGCGGTTTGGTTAAATTAACTTCCAATTTGTACCGAACGTTACTGAGAAATTTGTCCAAGTTAATTTCGATAGCACCGATAAATAGCGAAGCTTTCTCGCAAATTATACGGATCGCTTTTTCGCATTTACTACACTACACCATCTTTAAGGTGAAGTGAAACATCCTTCAAATCAGTCGATTCGAATACAACACTTTTTTTTAAGGGTATTAGGCCAAATTGTCCAAAACTTTGATACATGGCTCCTGATCAGCTAAGAATTGTCCTGACACATTCAAAATTTGGATCTTTCAAAAAAATTTGTTAACTCAGTCCAGACCAGAACCAAAATGGCGTCGAGCTCCTATATTTTGATCAATGTACAATTATCGAAGGCTCTGATATGAGAATCGATAGGGTCAGGACAATTTTACGAGAATTTAGAACACTCTGGTAATCGATAAACTCGCATTTGAACGGGATAAAGGCAAAAAAGTGTTGTATGCGCTTCTTTGTTAAAACGATGGTAATACGAGGTCTCGGAGTGAAAATTTAATTGATCTGGAAATCACAGATGGCGCAGGGGGTCCCTCCGCAGTCAATTAGAGCCCAGAAGGCATTTAGAAAAATCGTCTTTATCGACGTTGATCAAGTTCCTCGACGTGTTTCACTTCACCTTAACTGACACTAAAACATGCGAGAATGCCGACAGGTCAAGCATAATAATTTTAATAAATGTCAAAATTGCAAACAAATATTTTTGGAAAATGATTTAACGATTAACGGTACTATTCACAACAGTTATTAATACTATCTGGGCATGTAAAATGTACGATGATATATCAGTTACAATAACGATAATAAAGTGAAATTTTGCTGCATAAATAGTAAAAAGTTTTGTTATTCTTCTTAGGAAAGTATAGTAAACGTATAACAGGTCATTTTACTCTTCCCAAAAGGTAAAAAACATATAATAACCATCGTAGATTTCCTAATTGAGAAGAAAAGTTAATTTTACTATAAAAAGTATCCGAGTCCTTTCTCAGCTGTGAAAAGTAGTTAAAAAATGATTAATTTCAAGTGGTGTTTCTTTGAGTGCGGCCCTACCTGGGATGTTAATCTGAAAACGAACTGTAGTTGAGATTATTTCCGAGTCGCCCAGTATTTCGCGTTGAACCGTGTTGGTACTTATCAAATAAGCACGATGAACATAAAAGATTGAAGACAAACATAAAAATACACGACACACCATGTTGGGGAACCTCTTCTGTATTAATAGTCAAGTAGCTCTGACCGACGATTGGCAATAGAAGGGAGCAACGAGGGTCGGAAGGGGCATTTAAACGATCTGAGGATAGCACGCTACGGACCCCTGTGCTGGTTCACTTTCAGTATGTAATGGAAGTAAACTTACATAAGTTGTATTAGAAATGCTCTAACATGGAAGAGAACAAAATTAAAACGTCGTAAACAAAGCGGAGAGAAGATGGGATAGTAGTGTTTAAAGACGGGGAATTTACTAATTGGAGTGAGAGTGAAGAGAAAAAGTGAGGTATATAATAAATTGTATGAAATATTAGCTGGAATAAAGGCCGAACCGCGGAGAAAAAATGATAGGGTGGAGGACACGAGTTGAGGGGCGGGGTAAAGAGGAAGACGAGAAGAAATAAATGTATTGCTTTCTGATTAAGGGGAATCTCTAGTGTTGAGGGTCGCCAAATTCGATATTATTTCCATCGATCGAAAAGGGCTTTATAAAGAAGAGGAAGGTGTCCGTTTGGCTCTGAAACAGCTGATTAGCTGTAAGTGTTGAAAATATATAAATTACACTTTCTGTGCACGAATGGTACACATAAAACTACAAACTTGCAATAGCATCTTTTAACATTGTAACCGTACATGGAGAAAAATATGAACCTTAAAGTTACAGAAGCCAATCCGTTGGAAATTGTTGTTCATGACTCTATTAAAAACTGTCCCATTTACGGATTAATCCAGTTTATTATACTTTCTTACTTGTATAGTTAGCAGAGATATTTCTGTAAAAATCAGCTGTAACTGTAGTTAAAAATGTCTTTTAATACTAATAGTGATAAAACTGGTACATTTAAAGTACTGCAAAATTGTAGCTACATCGAATAATATCTTTAGACATTACAAATTCAGTTTATTCGGTTCATTTTTTTTTTTTTCAAAAAGATTTAAAATATTTGCAGTCCTTATATCGACGAATAAAATCTGTACATTTTACAGATTTTTCTGTAAGTTTAACAGATTTTTGTTCTCAGTATAATATCTCGAAAACGATGATTGAATCCACTTGAAGCATTCCAGTTACTTTCAGTGGAAATCTAATTCTTGCTCGAACTAGACGTTTTTCAATTCGTGCAAAATCCGAAATTTGCGACTCAGAAAATGAACGGTTTAGACAAGTTTCAAACTTTTCTTTCGGAATAATGCCGTTTTAATATTTTTTAAAATATTTTTAGATGATTCTAATTCCGATGATAGCCGTACACATATACACTACGATCTTTTTTTTTTTCTATCTCAAACTTCTGCAATATCTAATTTTGCAGTTATTACGAGAAAGTTTTTTTCGAGATGCTACAGCGAGTTACCGATAACTGGAATAATTTGATATTTCTACTTAAAAAAAGGAAAAAAACTGCAATGTTTCAAACCGTAGTTAAATATATCTAAAAACTTTCAAGTTAATAAGACGTACAGTTTTTCTTTTTAATTCTCAAAGATCATCTTATTATTTGGCTGTTAACACTAGGGAGGCTCCTTAAAAGAAGGCATGAGTATATACCACTGTTAAAGTATATCGTTTATATCTTCTTATAAGGATATTTCTATAAAATGGTTGAGGTACGAGCAGGAACTCTTTAATCAGTTGTCTTTTAACGGTAAACAACGTTTTTTAATCATAAAAGCAGGGTATGAGTAAGAACCTTCGACTTTTCAATGAATTTTGAACTAATAATTATAACATTTATATAACATATCCTCCGAGTTTAATTGTATCCAAATTGTTCGCGTTAGCTAATTTCTTTGATCATGTCACTAGATATCTGCACATATATATGCAGATATCTATAATATATAATGTAGGGCTTGTACTCATCCCTTACTTTTAGGATTAAAAACGCCTGTTAATCATTTAGAAACTACAAATAAAAGACATCTTTGTCTTTAAAAAATTACAGATAAAGGACGACTTTTAGACAATTATGAAGTGCATTACAAATTAAAAAGGAATATAGCTTTTTTTTTTTAATTTCCAACGTTTGTGTTATTGTTTGTCCATCAACACTACATTGAGAGAAAAACAGCTAATAAATTGAACAATTTAACACTGTTAAAGTATTTTTGATTAAACATTTTTACTAAAGTAACTCAATGTATCATTTGATTCACTTTAAATTGGTTGCTGCAACTATTTTTTAATAGTTGAGCATACTACTGCTTGTGTACGAATTTTGTAGTAACGGTAACAATATTTGTAGTAAAGTTTTTTACTATTTTAGAATAGTTAGGTTACCTTTTAAATAATTTCAACATTTATTGTAAGATGGTATTTACTCTACTTTTAGTAAATGCAACAATATTACTAGTACAACCGTTTACCATTGCGGTTTGGTTAAATCAATTTCCAGTTTGTACTGAACGTAACCAAAAACTTTATTTAAGTTAGTTTCGACAGCACCGATAGATGGCGAGGATTTCTCGCAAATGATGCGCATCGCTTGTTTGCATATATAATACTACTCCATCTCACACCTACCACAACACCTTCTGGGCATATAAAATATACGATGATATATCAGTTACGTAAACTATAATAAAGTGAAGTTTTACTATACTAACATAATGCGCGCGATCCCACATCGTTAGTATTATTCATGTGTTTTTCATATTATTTTTTATTATTTTTGTAAAAACGAATATATTATTTATCTTCATTTTTTTAAAGTAATGACATTAATCTTTTATTCTGAATTAGAAAGAAGAAGTTACAGAATTGTGTAACTAAAAAAATGTACGTATTGTATTTCTCTTTCCGTTTTTAATTCGAATAACGTGCTAACATTAATAACAACATTAATTTTTAATTTCTTTAAGAATTTCGTGAAAAACCTATAAGATTAATGTTTATAACTGATTTGTCTTCATTCTTTATCCTTTATATATTTTTTGGCGGTTTTGTATATACTTATCGTCCATGCAACCTTGAGGGATTTATACTTATTTCGGGAAAAATGTTACCCCAATATTAATCAACAGACATGGTCATTCTTCGTTGCCAAAGTATGCAATATACAAGAAACCTGTCGTACCTAGAGCTCAACCGAAGTCTCCTTACCCTTAAGGTGAAGTGAAACCCCTTTCAAATCAGTCAATTCGAATACAACACTTTTCTTTAAGGGTATTGGACCAAACTGTCCGGAACTTTGACACATCCTCCTGATCATCTAAGAATTGTCCTGACACATTCAAAATTTGGACTTTTTGAAAACATTTTTTAATTTAGCCCAGACCAGAACCAAAATGGCGTCGAATTCTCATATTTCGATCAATATACAATTATCGAAGGCTCTGATATGAGAAACGAAAGGGTCAGGACAATATTACGACAATTTAGAATAGTCTGGTTATCGATAAACTCGCATTTCAACGGGATAAAGGCAAAAAAAGTGTTATATGCGGTTCTATGGCAAAACGATAGTAATGCGAGGTCTCGGAGTGAAAATTTAATTGACCTGGTAATCACAGATGGCGCAGGGGGTCCCTCTGCAGTCAATTAGGGCCCCAGAAAGCATGAATCCAGAGGATTTCGGGAGTTTTACGTCGATTTCTTGATATTATGATACGAAAACGACAGGTGGAGTATGCCATTTTGTACAACGTCGAATATAATTCGACACAGCTGTGAATGTAAAAACGAACGTCGGCAACATAGGCATTTAGAAAAGTCTTCTTTATCGTCGTCGAGCAAGTTCCTCGACGTGTTTCACTTCACCTTAACAACTCGCAGTCCATACGGTGTATAGGCAGTCGATGAGGCGATTCTCCGATCTCGGCTATTAAACCTGCAATATCTAATTAATAAAACATTTGACACTCGTGTATTATGAGTATTTCTTAATAAGAACATTCTACGAATTTGGGATAAGGATATTCATAATAAATTCAAGTATCCCGAATTTATTTTTCACGGAGATATTCATTATATGTGCAACTCTCCAAGTACGCCGAAATTTAATTTCAGTTTCAGTATCCCTGTTCTTCACACATGCGTCTCCAACTTTTCTCGTTAGATGGCGACAGATTCTTCTTTCTTTGGTTCACTCTCTCTTTCGCACCCTCTTCCTCTCTCGCGCTATCCAGCCTTCTCTCCCTCTATCTGACCCTCTTTTACGGGAGGGGCCCATCCTCTCTCACACACTCTGACCCTCCCTCCTCCCCCTCCCCTTTCCTTCACTCATCTTTCACTCTCTCTCACTCTCCCTCAGCTTTTTTCACCCTTCCTCATCCTCTGTCACACATTCTGACCCTCCTCTTCCCCCTTCTCGCCCCCTATCCCTCTCCCCAACTTACCCTCTTTCAGCCTCCCTCACCCTCTCTCACCCTCAGACACTTTCTCTTTTTCCCCCTCCCCCCCTTCCCAACTCTCACCCTCACTTACCTTTTTTATGAGAGATGGGAAAATCTTCAACAAAAATCCCCGGCGGGGATTTTTCCCGCCGCATAAATTTTCATTCATCCCTGTGATAGAAGCAGAAATGGTAGAGTTTTCAAAAAATCGTCGAGCGGTATTCTCATCATTCGAGCCACCAAACCCAGGCTTCGGTTGATCGACTATCAGTCCCAATTGTAAACGAAAACCTTTTCGTATTCCTTCCTTTCAGTTTTTTACACTTTCTTCATCGTCTGAATCACGCGCTTACCACTTTTTAATATCAAGTTTGTACCCTACATGCAAACAACACTCGAAGAATCGAATCCACGCATGCAAAGTTGATAACCCAACCTCTAAATGATCTCCATTGATTTCCCTTTTCAATATCGCATCGATATTGTTAAAGTCTTTTCAAGTTGCTTTACACAAATATTAACGTTGAGCAGGTGCAGTATCCGTGATTGCATTGCAAACTTTACCGTCTATCATGGTGAAAGCAAGTTTGAAAGAAACGCTTATGGTTTTTGCGTTTATGACAGTTTCGTACGGGACAAGGTTAGTTTCTTGCTGTTTTATGAATTCCATTTCGTTAAGTGGCTTCAGTATTTTCGTTCAAAAATTAAATCCTGATTGGTCGACAAAAACGAGGAGACGATGGCCTTGGATTTTTCCATACAATAACTGTATTTTGTGTTTCTTCGTCGACTGATAAAAGTTGCAATAGAACGAGTGAAGTAACGAAAATGTTTCCATCAGACTTGCTTCCATCATCATCGGTTAATTTTTGCTTGAATGTACTTTGGCCAGAATTGCCACCGCAACCCCACTTACAAATTAAATTCAAGTTGCGAATTTTTTCGTAAGGCATACTGTTAATCACGTCCTTTTGAGTTGACAAGATTCTTTTGATTGTGTTATCCAGCAAAGCCTGCAGTTTTACTTCGGCACTACATCTCGTTACAGAAATATCTGATTTCGTTGGGTAACATTGAAGCTTCGCTTATTGTACTTTATTGTACGACGGGAATAAAGTGGAGCTATTTTCCCTGTTTGCATTTGAAATTTTCTGGTACTGTGATTTTGATAAATTCGTTTCAACTATAACCGACAAAGCAG